TGAGACAGAACCCGTTAGTATCAAACCTCGATCCAGGGAGTGACATTATTATTATTATTTAACAGTTGGGAGAGACACGCCATATCCACAATTTGGATAATTGCGTGTATATTTTAAATTATATACAATTAATACAATTGAACATTGGAAATCATTAAAATTAAACGTTCAATGTCAAATTTTACATATAGCAATTATAAGTAGTAGCTTGAAATATGTACAGTCAACGCTTTCGCCTCAAAATATACATCCTGCAGAATCTATTAAACTTGATGTATTGGTCTTTATTGCAAGCAGCTTGTTTTGTATTAGTCAGGTAAAGTTGGTTTTCTTCCCTTAGATCAGAAGTTAATGGACAGTCTATCAGAAGATGTTCAGGGGTTTGTTGTTCGTTTCCACAAGTGCATGCAGGTGAACCAATTTTGCCAATTCTAAACAAATATGTGTTGAAGTCACCATGTCCAGTAAAATATTGAACGTTATAGAAGTTGGGTTGAAAAGAGTTAGGAATTCTTGAAGTATCAAAGAATCCCTTGAAATTATCATTGGCACCTCCATAGTATTCCTCAATTTTCTGGTTTATAAAATTAGATATCATTTTTCTTTTAGTTGGATCTGATGTTTTGTATCCAATATTCATTTTTAGTATATTTGTTTCAATAAAATCCGTGAGCTTTGGTGTTCTAGCAACAATATGAGTACAGTTTGAAGATGTTGAATTATAAACCTGTGTACTGTGCTTCAAAATTTTGTACTGCAGAGAGTTTAATTTATCTTTGACTTTTTTGGGTATAAAGTTGTACCAGATCGTGGAACCATAAGTTAGTGAACTTCGAAACAGTGTCTTATAGAGTTCTATTCTTCTTTTACTGTCCAGTCCCCATGCTTTCCCGGTTAATCCAATTAGGTATCCACTAGCTCTATTTGTCTTAGTAATAATCTCATCAATATGGGGCACAAAATCCAATTTGTTTTTATTTCTATGCTTTTTAAAAGTTATTCCCATAATCTTCAGTTTTTCTACCCGATTGGCAGTGATAGTGTTAGGAATTTTTGCAGCTATTTTGCTATTAAACAAGTATAAGATTTTCGTTTTCTCTTCAGATACGGTCAACTTATTGTTCCCACACCAGTCTAATATTCTCTCCATGACCTTTCCTGTTGTATTCCGAAGTTCTGTCAAGTTGTTTCCCCAACATATCACAGTTAAATCATCCGCATAAGCAATGATTTCACTGTTTGATTCTGAATAGTTATTCAATAAATCGTTTAGAATAATATTCCATATTGTAGGGGATATAGGCCCACCCTGTGGACATCCCTTGCTTAATTTTTTGTGGGTTTCATTTGATGAGTATCTAAATCTCACTCTTCAATTATTAAGAAAAGACCGTAGTAGTTTTATTATTGAAGCTTGAACGTTGTCCTCATCTAGTCTTTTCAGCACCATCGGCCACCATGCATTGTCGAACGCTCCATGATAATGACGCCGTATACACCAGTTTAGTAGTTGACACCTCCACTGGGGTCCTTTATAGATACTTCAATATTTTATTGATTCATCTTGTCGTACTGAACCGTTTTACATCATTTTTCAACGAATACTTTACCTAAAAAGAATATTTTATTTAAATGAAGAAAGATAATTAGCTGAAATATTCTTTGAAAATTATTAATGGAGGCCACCACACAAACACACGCACATATTTTGCGCTTTGTGTTTTCAGTAAAATATCAGTTTAACATTTCTTTTATATATATTTTGTTATTTTTATTTATTTTTATACGAAAAATCTTTTTACACAGAGTACAAATAATTTTAAATATAAAATAGGCGTTATTGTTAATTTTCGAAATATTCACACCTATATTCCCCTAAATATATTTTGTCCATAATATAAATTATATATCATTTTTTTCTCCCCATTGAATATAATAAAATATTTTTAAAACTTAATGCTGTTGACGTTATGTGGCGCTGAGTTTTGTTGTTGACACACTTTAAAATGTTATAACACCTTGATAAAGGTTGGCGTTCAGCCAACTGAAATATTAGTAAAATAAATGATATTTTGATCCAATATATGTCATTTTAATTAAACACACACATATGTCGAAGGTTGAATTAGTTTTCATTCGATATTGGACAGATCTCATGGCTCTATATTGGAACAAATTATTTAGACGCTGATGGTTTCATAATGGAATATGGATGTTGAAGCTCATTAGGGAATTTTCCGAGCGGTTTTGCCGGTTTAGTCCACCAGACAGCTACAGATATTGAGCTGGCTATTTTGTTTATCTGCATTGGAAAGATTGTTTAGTCCGGTTTAGTCCACCAGACAGCTACAGATATTGAGCTGGCTATTTTGTTTATCTGCATTGGAAAGACTGGTATTTATGATTTCGGGTCAATGAAGCTACTTAATCAACAACAGTGAGTTGGTGAGCTCCAGTGGAGAGATAAAAACTTGTAGAAACCGCCGGGAAGACTGATGCTTCCTGTTCCCAATACTTTTTTTTTTAAATCTCCGTCCAGTAATTGGCGATTTTCCTCTCCGAGAATGATTCAAAAAATCAGAACAAAATCAGCTTTTCTAGCACATTAAATATACATATGGAATTATATTTAAGAAATTGGTATATGACCAAAAACGCTGTACACACGTGGGTGATATAAAGTTTAAAAAAAAACTTACATTAAGTCACATAGTATATTCAGGAATTCCCAAAATGTAAAATGTCATATACAAAGACTCTATAAAAACACATTTTCTATAAGAGATTACCAATCTTAAATAAATATTGTTGCACAAGTATAACAGAGAGTCACTGAAGGAATGTAATCTCCCATAATAACAACACATTAAAACAATACGTGGCCAAGTCCGATAATCTCTCGGATGTCGTCTGCTAGGAGTATCATCCAATTAGCTACCGCCGCGGTGGTGACCAATCAAATTAGGACTGTTGTCGACTTCCCGCCAGGTGACCTCGGGTCTATTGTTTCAGCGCCCGCGGAGTATCTATCTGGTAGAGCTGCTTTCTTCACGGTGACATCTCTCTCTCTCTGTTCTCTATATATTCTCTCTAACCTAGAGCCTGTTCTGTAAATATGTTCAGGCTTATAACACGGTCTATAGATATATTCTAACCTGGAACATGCTCTATAAAAAGATTTTGATTCTACCCCGATATTCCGTTCTATAGATATATTCTAACCAGGGAACTGATAGATTCTACCCCGATATCCCGTTCTATAGATATATTCTAACCCGGAACACGATCTATAAAAAGATTTTGATTCTACCCCGATATTCCGTTCTATAGATATATTCTAACCTGGGAACTGATAGATTCTGCCCCGATATCCCGTTCTATAGATATATTCTAACCTGGAACATGCTCTATAAAAAGATTTTGATTCTACCCCGATATTCCGTTCTATAGATATATTCTAACCAGGGAACTGATAGATTCGACTCTTAGTTCCCGTTCTATAGAAGCGCCGTTTGACTCTCCAGACACATCTTAAGCCGGGAAATGGAGGCAGCCCTCAATTACCCGCTACGCGCCCATCAATAACCGGGGGCCATTGTTCCTCCAGAAAAAAGCACAAGAAGGAAGAAAAAGCTGCAGTGAACCGGAAGTCGTCGGTCGATAACGTAATGGGCGGACTTCCGGCCGCGAAGCTCGACAAAAGCTTTCTCCAGGGAAGACAATGGAGGCTTTTAATTGGCTCTCCGGGGAGCTTCCACAGGTTGGCCTAATTGGTCTCAACTTCTTTCCTTGATTTGCATACTGAGGGAATTACTGGAGCGCCAATTAAATGTCAAACCTCTTTGAATAAATTCCCAACCCCAATATTTCCTCTTTGTTTGAACCAAATCTATCAACACGCCAAGTGTGTATCGATAAGTTAACACGTTAGTTTCAATAGCAGTTTTCAAATCAAAATGTTATTTGCGAATTATGCTCGAGGAACAATGCTAGAAGTAAAAATAGTTGACGAGCTTTCTATTTACACCAAGGACGCCTATGTAACTTATTTTTTTAATATACATTTACCTTGAATTCTTCAATATAGGCTAATGAGGACTTCTTCTCAATATAGATTGCTGTCTCTCTTTACCTTGAGAGAACACCTAGTGTTTTAGTCCAGCTACTTGACCAGCTCCGCAACTCCAAGGAAGAGGCTCTAAGGACGACTGCCAAACGTCCAAAAACTTATCCAGAAACTCATTTTTTATTGAAAAACACGCTCAATTTATACATTAAAGAAATTTACAAACTAATTTATACATTAGAAGAAATTTACATACTTTTTTCTCTTAGTTTTTAAGTTACAAATATATTTACATGAAAATAAAGTTGACTACTCTAGTAGTCGTAAAATAGGCGGTATATAAGTATAACAGCCTGATACAATACTAAAGCGGGTTTACAGATTAAATTGGTGAAACTGCTGGAAGGGTTTACCACTACTGAACCAGACTCTTGCATATTTTCTCAACCCAGTAAGTTCATTCAAAATTATTTTATATGAAAATTAAATATTACGATGCATTAGCGCGCCATCTGTTATGAAAATTCAAAACTATTATAGACGCGTATGATTCTTTTAAAAATTAAACAGTTTCTACCGCTCTTACTACAGACCTTCCCATTAATTTTTCCATTGCAGTAAAGGCAGTAAATATTATTTTATTTTTAAAAGAATCATACGCGTCTATAATAGTTTCGAAAATTAAATACCACTCGTTAATTTAACCTTATATTATTCATCTGGTTATATCTATTTGCAGTAGCTCTGTCAGAATTAAACTCTATACTAAGCATTTGGGTTAAATTATTAAGTATTTTATTAAATTTTTAACAGTTTATTTATTTTCTCAAGCTAGTTTCTCTTCAATTAATCCTTCTAGCTCTCTAGTAGCATGAATGTAATTGTATAGGTAACATTAATGGTAACAATACAGTCAACCTTCTGGTTAGCATAAGGCGAAATAGCTCAGCTGTGAAATCTTTAGACTTAGAATCTGGTGTCTGGTTCTAATCTGCTTTTCGCCATCTTTTTATATTCTAAGATTCCAAACTGCGGGATTTCTTTGAAAAACAATCTGGTGAGCATGTCGAGGGTGACATGTCTACAATCCTGTATCACAATATACAGTGTACACCATACAGTGACTACCTTATAAACTATCTTGTGACACTGTTGTACACTACCTGTACTGCTCCCCCCGTGTGTCCTGTGTCTCCTGCCTGGTCGGTCATCTGTGCGGACCCTCCATGTTGTAGATCCTTGCTGCTTCTCCTTAGAAACTGTGGCCCAGCTAGCTTGTGTCCCTACCCCCTCTTATGGTGACACACAACCTTTTTATCTCTCTTTAGATCTTCTCTATGTATGTATCCCTTTGGTGTGATTTTTGGAATGAATTTATCCCCATCTGTGTGTATCGTCCCTATCTATTCTTGTTACTTGAGAAACCTGTGGACGCACCCGGCCCTGAGACAAAGTCCTTGTTGATCTAAAAACTCCAATCTAGTTCTAGGTAGTCCCAATAAACTGAAGTCCCAGTATAGCGGCGTTTGTTACGCTGGTGTTTATAGTCCGGCTAGTGGCCATTGAATTATTCCTTCTTCCTACTCTCAAATCTTGGCTCTCTCTTGACCATCTACTAAACAAACAGAAATGTCATCGAGGTATAATGGCCTGTTCATTATTATTATAATATTTTATTAGTTTAATCAATTTAATTATTTCTCTTTGAACTATATTAGATGTTTCATTGTCAACAGTTATATATAGTTACCTGGGAAATTGTGTTGGGAAGCATCGTTTAAAGGCGCAAGTAAATTTTTGTCGGTGAATTTTTGTAAGCATAGATTCCTTAAACTATTTATTCAAAATTCTTTTGAGTTTTGTTGTTTATAGAGACGGTTCTGATGTAGACCGCAATAGTCGCCACGACAATTCTAGAGCCATTCTCAAATACCCTGAAAATGTTTATAGATTTACGGGATCCTGAATTTTTTTCAATAGAAGCTCTGGCCCCTGGTGTTGGATTATGCAATGATGAATGAAAATGTCATTCTGACGTTCTTTGTCAATTCTCTCTACTTCCAACACGACGTCTAGTTACTCCAAATACCAAGGTCTGCATAGTCTGAACTATTATTTTAAAATAATAATTAGATATATGCACATCTATGAACGATGAATATATAATGGCACCTCTGCCAACGCTGTAAAATCACCAGCGGGTCCCCAGGCGACCTGACGCATTTCAAGATCAACGAAGAAAACGTAGATCACGTGCTTCGCCACTGAGGAGATGGCGTAGTCCTCGATGGCATTAGAGCTCGATACTTATATTACGATGCACTATCGCGCCATCTTTTATGAAAATTAGAAACTATTTTAGACTATATCACTATAAAAGGAAGATCGAAAAATGCAATATAACAACGGTATGGTAGATTAAACTAGCGATACCGCTGGGAGGGTTCACCACTAATAAGCCAGGCCCTCTCATCAATTTTCCATTGCAGTAAGGGCATTAGAAATTGTTTTATTTCAAAAAGAATATTACGCGTCTAAAATAGTTTCTAATTTTCTTAAGAGCTCGATATATTATCTCCATAGTTGAAGAGAGATAGTAACAGCTAGGTAACCAGCCCGAGCTCCTGAGTCATCCTATCCTTGTCGATGGTAGGAGGTGTAGAAAGGTCAGGACTTGCCGGGTGCGTCCACTGAATAAAGAAGACCGCATGTCCCACCCTCTGTGTCCCCCAGCCTCCGAGGAACCAGTCCACTCCTATGCCTCGCCGTACGATATGCTGCCTTCCACCCCTCCTCGCATGCGCACGCTTACCCGCAGAGTGCAAGACGTGCGTCCCAACAACATTTACACCCCGCAGGTACTAAGCCACCTCGGTGGTAGATAGCTACTGTCTTGTTCCGCATAGCTGCGCTGTCTCTCGCATTAATGTCAGCTTGATCTCAAGTTGCTAACCAAGAATTCAATCGTGAGATAATAATACGCCGGTAGAGTAATCATTTTACAGTATCCGAAGAAATACTTCAGCGTATGAGAGTTACCTGTCTTGATTTTGATCGATATTTTGACAAGGTATTTGAATATCTTCGTATTTTGAAGCCTTGTTAGCAAGAGCTTGATCTTAAGTCGCCAGGAACCAACCAAGAATTCAATCGTGAGGAAACAATACGCCGGTAGAGTAATCATTTCACAGTATCCGAGGAAATACTTCACCGTATGAGAGTTACCTGTGTTTATTTTGATCGATATTCTGGCAAGGTATTTGAATATCTTCGTATTTTGAAGCTGTGTCAGTAAGAGCTTGATCTTAAGTCGCCAACCAAGAATTCAATCGTGAGATAACAATACGCCGGTAGAGTAATCATTTTACAGTCTTCGAGGAAATACTTCAACGCATGCTTTTTATCGATATTTTGACAAGGTTTTGATTATCTTCGTATTTTGAAGCTACGTTATCTAGAGGTATGATACGCCGATATTTCAGCATCTATTGTAAATACAAACCATAACACGCGAGATCCATCCCAACTCTATAAGTCCTAATCCTCCTATATTTTCGTTCTAATAGGCTTGCGCGTTATATTTGAATAGAATAATTATAAATGGCGTTCCAACAACAAGAAAAGCCTAGCGACCTGTACAGTAATTTTTTGCGTCTGAAGTGCTGCAGATACAAAACGAGTTTATTATCGAAATATTTAAAAATAAATTTTAAAATATAAAGTGAATTGTTATTCTTTCGGTTATAAATGAGATTAAGTTTAAGCATTATGAAATATATATTACAATAGATCGTTAGATTTTTGCGGTTTACAAATTTCACTCGTACAACAAACGTTTGAAAAGTTGATCACATTCTTTAACATTTATTCCTTCTTTTGAAATTTTAATCCGATGTGTTTTTCGAATGTCTATCTAGACAAACGTTATAGATGACATAACCTCATCAAACTGCTAGCTAATTCCCATCCTGCGGTGAACTGAAAGTTCCCTCACAATAAAAATAAATCCCGCAACCAATATATTTGGGCGGACAGCTACGGTAAGCTGAGCTTCAACAAAATCATTCCGGACAGAAACGAATTGATTTTTGAGATGACAACAAAAGTGAAATCGGTCGCACCATGCGGCAGACATTCCTTATCGTTTTTTTCTTCTTTCCAGCGAAAGGATTCCGTTTAAATTGAATTCTATGGAGATTGACGTGATGCTTGTGCATGTCCTGGCCGTTCCTAGCCTGACCCGCCTTCCCTTGCTGCTACACTCAATGCTCCCCACTCACGGCAATGACCTGTGTTTGAATGGCAGAAATCGGAACAACTAAAGTCCTCAAATATATAATCGACGGTAAGTTGCTGGTACACTCTAACTTCTTGATTTGTTTGTTGTGGATTGCCTATTTATGACCAAGCAACTTTAGCAATACTATTTCATTTGAGTAATATTTATCATGTCTCCAGACAAAAGTGTAATTTCAAAACATGTTTATCATTCAATACAATATAATGCGGCTTGTGGTTGTAAAACGACATTTGAAAATTATCCGCATGAGTTTCTTTTCAACGAAAAATCAAAATTTATTTTAAGGAGAAATAACGATTATTTCTAACCTTAGTGATGAAGTATGAAAGGATGAATTGTGAAGAGTAATGATAAACGGAAAAATAAAAGTGTCCAGGGATGGGAAGCGGTAAGCGGAACATTGTGGGTTCGATTCCCATCCCTGGACACTTTTATTTTTCCGTTTATCATTACTCTTCACAATTCATCCTTTCATACTTCATCCCTAAGGTTAGAAATAATCGTTATTTCTCCTTTAAATAAATTTCGATTTTTCGTTCAAAAGAAACTCATGCGGGATAATTTTCAAATGTCGTTCTACAATCATAAGCCGCATTATATTGTATTATAGATTTTTATTATTCTCTGGCTTTCGGGCACGGACGCCCTTCTACAGGAAGAAAACCTGGAGGAATGATTAATTTCACTGGATATTGAAGCACGGGTTTATTATATAGAACTATTCCATTTATAATAAAGATTATTTCCTGCTTGTACACTCTGACAAAAATCAATAAATAATCTAGGGTTTGGTTTCTTTCTACAATTCTTTTATTTCTCGAGCTTTCGGGTTAACATGCCCTTCAACATGGAGATCAATAAGTATTACTTCTAGCCTAAAAGAAGTGTTATATTTAGCTAGAAGTAGTACTCCTGGATCTCCGTGTTGAATAGCATGTTAACCCGAAAGCTTGATAAATAAAAGAAACTTTATTCCTCAAACTTTCGGGTTAACATGCCCTTCAACACGGAGATCAATAAGTATTACTTCTAGCCTAAAAGAAGTGTTATATTTAGCTAGAAGTAGTACTCCTGGATCTCCGTGTTGAATAGCATGTTAACCCGAAAGTTTGATAAATAAAAGAAACTTTATTCCTCAAACTTTCGGGTTAACATGCCCTTCAACACGGAGATCAATAAGTATTACTTCTAGCCTAAAAGAAGTGTTATATTTAGCTAGAAGTAGTACTCCTGGATTTCCGTGTTGAAGAGCATGTTAACCCGAAAGCTTGAGAAATAAAATAAAATTGTAAAAAGAAACTTTATTCCATTAACTATCGGGTTAACATGCCCTTCAACACGGAGATCAATAAGTATTACTTCTAGCCTAAAAGAAGTGTTATATTTAGCTAGAAGTAGTACTTCTAGGTCTCCGTGTTGAAGAGCATGTTAGCCCGAAATCTCGAGAAATAAAAGAAATTTGTAAAAAGAAACTTTATTCCTCAAACTATCGGGTTAACATGCCCTTCAACACGGAGATCAATAAGTATTACTTCTAGCCTAAAAGAAGTGTTATATTTAGCTAGAAGTAGTACTTCTAGGTCTCCGTGTTGAAGAGCATGTTAGCCCGAAATCTCGAGAAATAAAAGAAATTTGTAAAAAGAAACTTTATTCCATGAACTATCGGGTTAACATGCCCTTCAACACGGAGATCAATAAGTATTA